TTCAGACTAAAGAAAAAAAATGATTAAAAAAATATAAAAAAATATGGAGCTGTGCAAAATGAACACAATTTTACAAAGTGTAGCATGTGCATAACAACTTGAACCAAAAGGCCAATAAGAGTCAATAAAGAGTCTTTCATAAACCTATTTCAACCTCGTTTTGTAAACAATTTGGGCAATACGTCGTACTGAAGTTTTCATCATTCTAAGCTTGGACCCGGAAACAATGAACGTATGACTGTTACCAAGAATATCGCGATCATACGAGTAGCCATATAGCGGACAATAGTTCCGTACATGCTTGAAATGGGACGAGCAACCTAAGTTTCTAGAAATTTAAGCATTACACATCAATATGCAGTGTAGCTGCAATAACCGAAAATAATGCAAAGGTAAAGGCCAAACAAATGTAAAACTGATCTCTACTACTTACGATGTTTCACACAGTTTTTTATATCGGAGTGGTAGTTGTTGTATTACTATTGTTCATTCCTCAATCAATCAAAAATGCTTTACAACTCAAAGCAACAAAGTGAAGTCGTAACAAGGCATCAAAGCAAATACATCGAAATTTTATTCTTGCTCATGAAACATCCCACAAATTTGTTAGCCCTAGTGAAGTTCAATTCTCAATTTAAGATAGCGAAAAAGGAGGTGGGACAGAAGTTGCAATTATACAATGATTAAATACTCGGTCAGCCCTAGCTTGAATGACAGTTCTGTTCCCGGTGTGTTCATAAGTAAAGGTGCTATTCACAAAAACATTATGGCACGGTTTTCCCAGCGCCACAAGGGCCCGGCAACTAAAGTCACCGATTTTCTTCCCTTGAAAATCTAGTTGTACACATCGAATGCGTACTTTATGCAGAAATGTTTTTTCCACTCAACCACTGCCGGCGAGTCATCCAAATGCGCCAATGTTCGAAGTGCGCGCAAAAAGCAAAATGACTATAATTGGAAACATGTTTAGTCCGGCCATAATGATGGAAATAATGTGTAACTTTTGATTTTCTTAGAAAATGATCCCTTAGATGCAGTTGAACTCTGGTGCAAGGAGTTATATACTTATAAAGGATGAGGCAAATGTGAGAGTCATTTGTAAATAGAAAAACACATTTTTGTTTAAAACTACTTTAGCAACGTATTTGCTGATGTGAGGTATCAAATACGAGGGTTTCTAATTTGCTATTTACTTTCGTAACCCTAAAATTACATCTTTGCAAATTAATACACCGACTAGTTTAGTCTAACAGAGTTGCAAACACCATGAACTAAACTTTCATGTCGTGTTAGCGACAATCATTGTGTGAAATAGTAACGACAATCAGGAAAAAGAACACGACTCGCCTTAATTGTGCTGCAATAAATGGACAAACATATTTATCAAGCATTATTATTCCTATTATAACAAAATGAAAATGTGACGTAAGAGATTAAATTTGTTAAGAAGTGAAGAATTGTTGAAGTACAATACATTAACTAAATGAACACCCCTTTCTTGGTAAACTCATTTTAGAACAAATATTATATCACACCCTACCGCATATGGTACAATACTCATGCCCCACATGCCCGGTTATATCGTTAACGATCTGCAGTTGCGTCAATGTTAAGTTTCAAATCATTCAACAAATGTTCTTGTTTTGGTTATTCAGACTAAAGAAAAAAATGATTAAAAAAATATAAAAAATATGGAGCTGTGCAAAATGAACACAATTTTACAAAGTGTAGCATGTGCATAACAACTTGAACCAAAAGGCCAATAAGAGTCAATAAAGAGTCTTTCATAAACCTATTTCAACCTCGTTTTGTAAACAATTTGGGCAATACGTCGTACTGAAGTTTTCATCATTCTAAGCTTGGACCCGGAAACAATGAACGTATGACTGTTACCAAGAATATCGCGATCATACGAGTAGCCATATAGCGGACAATAGTTCCGTACATGCTTGAAATGGGACGAGCAACCTAAGTTTCTAGAAATTTAAGCATTACACATCAATATGCAGTGTAGCTGCAATAACCGAAAATAATGCAAAGGTAAAGGCCAAACAAATGTAAAACTGATCTCTACTACTTACGATGTTTCACACAGTTTTTTATATCGGAGTGGTAGTTGTTGTATTACTATTGTTCATTCCTCAATCAATCAAAAATGCTTTACAACTCAAAGCAACAAAGTGAAGTCGTAACAAGGCATCAAAGCAAATACATCGAAATTTTATTCTTGCTCATGAAACATCCCACAAATTTGTTAGCCCTAGTGAAGTTCAATTCTCAATTTAAGATAGCGAAGAAGGAGGTGGGACAGAAGTTGCAATTATACAATGATTAAATACTCGGTCAGCCCTAGCTTGAATGGCAGTTATGTTCCCGGTGTGGTCATAAGTAAAGGTGTTATTCACAAAAACATTATGGCACGGTTTTCCCAACGCCACAAGGGCCCGGCAACTAAAGTCACCGATTTTCTTCCCTTTGAAAATATAGTTGTACACGTCGAATGCGTACTTTATGTTGAAATGTTTTTTGCACTCAACCACTGCCGGCGAGTCATCCAAATGCGCCAACGTTGGAAGTGCGCAATTCGCCAAAAGCAAAATCACCATAATTGGAAATATGTTTAGCCCGGCCATAATGATGGAAATAATAAGTAACTTTTGATTTCCGTAGAAAATGATCCCCTAGATGCAGTTGAACTTTGGTGCAAGGAGTTCTATACTTATAAGGGATGAGGCAAAGGTGAGAGTCATTCGTAAAATGAAAAACGCATTTTCCTTTAAAACTACTTTAGCAACGTATTTGCTTATGTGAGGTATCAAATACGAGGGTTTCGAATTTGGTATTCATTTTCGTACCATTAACTCAACTTACAAGTACCCATAAATTGTTTAATTAATCTCAACAATCACCTAGCTATTTATTATTTCACACTAAAATTACTTGTTTGCAAATTAATACACCGACTAGTTTAATACAATAGAGTTGCGAAAACCGGTGAACTGAACTTGTATGTCGTGTTAGTGACTACCGTTGCGTGAAAAAGTGACGACAAGCAAGAAAAAGAACGCGACTAGCCTTAATTGTTCTGCAATAAATGGAAAACCATATTTCTCGACATTATTATTCCTACTATGTCAAAATGAAAATGTGACGTAAGAGATTAAATTTGTTAAGAAGCGAAGAATTGTTGAAGTACAATACATTAACTAAATGAGCACCATTTTCTTGGTAAACTCATTTTAGAACAAATATTATATCACACCGTACTGCATATGGTACAATACTCATGCCCCACACGCCCGGATATAACGTTGACGATCTACAATTGTGTCAATGTTAAGTTTAAAATCATTCAACAAATGTTCTTCTTTTGGTTATTCAGACTAAAGAAAAAAAGATTAAAAAAAATATAAAAGATACTTAGCTGTGCAAAATGAACACACTTTTACAAAGTGTAGCATGTGCATAACAACTTGAACCAAATGGCCAATATGAGTCAATCAAGAGTCTTTCATAACCCTATTTTAACCTCGTTTTGTAAACAATTTGGGCAATACGTCGTAGTGAAGTTTTCATCATTCTAAGCTTGGACCCGGTAACAATGAACGTATGACTGTTACCAAGAATATCGCGATCATACGAGTAGCCATATAGTGGACAATAGTTCCGTACATGCTTGAAATGGGACGAACAACCTAAGTGTCTAGAAAAATAAGCATTACACATCAATATGCAGTGTAGCTGCAATAACCGAAAATAATGCAAACGTAAAGGTCAAACAAATGTAAAACTGATCTCTATTACTTACGATGTTTCACAAAGTTTTTTTAAATTGGAGTGGTAGTTGTTTTATTACTATTGTTCATTCCTCAATCATTTGAAAATGCTTTACAACTCAAAGCAACAAAGTGAAGTCGTAACAAGGCGTCAAAGCAAATACATCGAGATTTTATTTTTACTCATGAAACATCCCACAAATTTGTTAGCCCTAGTGAAGTTCAATTCTCAATTTAAGATAGCGAAGAAGGAGGTGGGACAGAAGTTGTAATTATACAATGATTAAATACTCGGTCAGCCCTAACTTGAATGGCAGTTCTGTTCACGTCGAATGCGTACTTTATGCTGAAATGTTTTTTGCACTCAACCACTGCCGGCAAGTCATCCAAATGCACCAATGTTGGAAGTGCGCATTCACAAAAAGCAAAATGACCATAATTGGAAACATGTTTAGTCCGGCCATAATGATGAAAATAATGAGTAACTTTTGATTTTCTTAGAAAATGATCCCTTAGATGCAGTTGAACTTTGGTGCAAGGAATTATATACTTATAAAGGATGAGGCAAAGGTGAGAGTCATTTGTAAAATGAAAAACGCATTTTCATTTAAAACTACTTTAGCAACGTATTTACTGATGTGAGATATCAAATACAAGGGTTTCTAATTTGGTATTTATTTTTGTACCATAAATGAAACTTACAAGTTCCCTTAAAATGTTTAATTAATCTTAACAATCACATAACTATTTATTATTTTGCACAAATATTTCTTGTTTGCAAATTAATTCACTGACTAGTTTATTACAATAAGGTTGCAAAAACCATGAACTGAACTTACATGTCGTGTTAGTGACTATTATTGCGTGAAAAAGTAACGACAATCAGGAAAAAGAACACGACTAGCCTTAATTGTTCTGCAGTAAATGAAGAAACGTATTTATCGAGCATTATTATTCCTATTATAGCAAGATGAAAATGAAAATATCGTATTGTCTAATAATCGAAGTATAAAGTTTTGAAGTGTTTGAGAGAGAGTAGATTTGTTGCTCAATCTAAAAGAACGTCAATGTGTTTGGATCCACATATATCTGACTGTACGCAGCTAATTTCTTCAACCCCATTTGTCTCATTTCATCACGAACCTTATTAGCCTCATCCCACCGTTCGTGAGTGGCGTATGTATTCGATACGAGAGCATAAGTTCCGATGCCTACTCCTCTACTCTAGAGGAGACCATTTCTGATCCTCTTAAGCATCTTCTCATTCCCATGAATTTTGCATGCATTAAGCAACGCTCCCCAAACAACGCCGTCTGCTTCTGTTGGCATTTCCTTCATGAAATTCTCTGCTTCTTCTAAGAACCCTGCTCGACCATACATATCAACTAGGCAGGCATAGTGCAGTGTTTGAGGGGCAATCCAATAAACATTTTTCATAGCATTGAAAATCATCAACCCTTGATCAACTAGACATTCGTGACTACATGCTGATAACAAGCCAAGGAAGGTTACATCATCAAGAGGAATCCCGTGGACTAGCATGAGCGAAAAGAGCTGCAATGTGTGTATACCATAACCATTCATGGCCATGCCGCTTATGATGGACTCCACGAAATGTGATCCTTGCAAACCAGGGTTTTAAAAACCGAAACTACCATACCTACTTCCCCATACTTTACATACATGTTTATTAATGCATTTCCCAGAATGCCATTCAACACGAGATCTGGCCGTGCACTTATATACGAATTTACCCACTGGCCTAAACTCAATGCCCCAATCGAAGAACACGCTGACAATACATTTACAATGGTATCCTCATTAGGCTCAACTTCCTCTCCCTGAACCATCTCCTGAAAAAGCTTCACTGCCTCGTCACAAAATCCTCTTTGTGCATAACCACCCACCATGCTAGTCCAAGAATACACATCTCTTTTGGGCATATTTACAAACAGGCACCGTGCACTCACCAAAGACCCACATCTCATGTAAAAATCCAACACTGCATTGTCCAAAATAACATTCCTTTCAAATAACTTCCTCATACAATATCCATGAACAGATTTACCAAACTTTAAAGCTCCTAAACTCGAACAAGTGGACATGACAATGACAAGAGTAGTAGAATTAGGCGGCACATCCATGGACATAAACTTAACAATTGCTTCCTCCACAAATCTACACTTGTTAAGACCCGAAATCATCGAAGTCCACGAAACAACATCAGGGTTTTGTATGGAATCGAAAACCCAAGTAGCAAATACAATGTCAACTTGGGTTACGTAGAAGTGAAGCAACGAGTTTTGGACGAAGGTATCGGAAAAGTGCTTGGTTTTTACGACGCGGGCGTGGACTTCCCGGCTCTTGTTGTTATCATGGAGGAAGCAACATGCCTTGAGAGCGTAAGTGAAGGTGTAGTGGTTGTGGGAGGTTGGGTAGTAGAGCATTTGGTTGTAGAGGAAAATGGCAGTTTGTGGGGCGAGGGAGTTTGTGAGATGTCCCAGTTGTTCGTGACTAGAATTTTTGTTGGGGATGTTTCCTAGCCGACGAGCACACAGCTCCCCGAGAGGTTGGCGCCAGTTGATGTTTTCTGTCGGGCTTCTGCTTCACTGGTGGGCTTGTCGGGCAAAACTTATCGGGCAAGGCTGAAAGAGAATGACAGAGTTAACTTTGAAAAGTGCTCCCAATCAAGATTAACTTTTAAGTGCTCAGGCGTGCCACTGCCATCTTCAACATGGCAGATGTAAAACGGATGTTGAGTTTTAGTTGTATATATACCCGAGAGGCTGTTTTATTTATGAAATGTGCCTTTGTGGGGTTTTAGGTGCAGACCTTGAGGCTTCCAATCAAGAACTAACCCAGTACTTGAATATATAATGTTTTGTTTCATTGATTACAGAAGTATTATGATTATTATACTTCTGATTACCCGAGCCCGACAAGCAGAAAGAATCCAAATAGGAGCCTTTGTAGGGCCTTAGGTGTAGGTCTTAAGGCTTCCCATCAGAATTCCTTCTATTCTCAAACGTTCTTCGATAATCATAATATAATAGAAATAACACTATGGGATAGGTCGATTACTTGCTCCCCAAGTAACTTCGGACTTCTTGTTTATCAAAGACTGTCGTGGATGGGTTAAGTCCACATAAGGTTCTTTTTTATGCCTTGAGACCAAGGACTTTTAAATGATCAATCTTACATGCCCGAGGGCTTAGAACTTAGATCTAATTTAATCTGTGAAGACATATTTAAATCGGATTCAAGAACTGATGAGCCTTTTTAATCATCAACTTGCCAGAAATAACTTGGATACAACTGGAAGTATACAACATATTGCTAGACTACTGAATGAAAAGACAAAAACAAAAAAGGTTGGGCAAGGTTATCATCTTGCAACTTCCTATCTTTGTGGTTTATCAAGGGGTTTGAGAGTTTAGAATGAGGGGTAGGGAGATGGGTTTACCGAAGGAAATCGATACTACAGCAAGTTTTAGACAAGGTAGCAGAGCTATTACAAAGGCTTTGGGTGAGGGTTGATCCCGAAAGGGATGAAGGCTTGGGCTGACTACAGCTTCATTGAAAGCAAATCTGGTTTGAGCAGAGTTTGTGCTTGTATTTGTTTGTTTGATTGAGTGTCCTTATCTCTGATTTCTCTTTCTTCTTTTATAGACATTTTGTCTTGGCCTCCTGTAGCAGTGATCTTGCCCGAATGCAACTTGAAGGGCAATGACTCATCAGTTTTTTACTTGTACTGCCACTGTAAAGTGCTTTTGGACTGATTAGTTGGCTGGTCTACACCACTTGACCTCTAAGTAGGTGAGCAAGTGGTTCAAATGGTCAACTCCTAGTCAGAAAAGGGTCTCTCCTGCTTTCTGGGCTTTGGCTGGGCTTCGGGCTTTTCTCCTTCTAGACTTCTTTCTTTTGGGCCAACTCTTTCTTGAGCCCAAAGTTCAAGTTTTAACCCAAACACTAGTAGAGGGTTTAAAAGTTAGGGTTTAGGGTTTTTGATGATTTGGGCAAGGATGATTTGCTTTAACTGTCGTTTCATTATACTTTTTGACAAAAATGTATACACAGTAGGTGTTGGAATTGCTGGGCATTCATCTTTTTTTTTAGGAGAAATCGGACATCTAAAACAATTGTGGGCAGTGGAAGGGTGGGAATTTGGGTTGCGTAGAGGAATGGAGGCGGAGGTAGGAGGGGGATCCGCATGTCGGGTTTGGTACATGCAATTTGGGGTGGGTACAGGGCTTTTCCAAATATTTTTAATACTAAATAGGGTGGGGCGGGGCAGGTCCAAATATATGAGCAAAAGGGTGCCCGACCTAGACCTTTTCCACCAGTCTAATATATGAGATTAAATCTCCACCCTTGGTTCTAATCTAAAAGGCAAACACTCTTGACTCTCGGTCTGTTCCTCCTTAGTTCATTCTCTCGAACTTAAAGCTTCAACTGACTTCGACTCTCGGTCTCTCACTCAGACCCAAATTCATAGAATGTCGTCAATCGATCATCGAACTCCGTCCCTTCGTTCGAGCAATAAGGGGGATAAGGATTGTCTGCCCTCTTTGTTCCCGTGCCCTCTTGTTTTGTGTGGTCACGGTTAAGCCATTTCAACATTTTATTTTGTTTTTTTATAAAGATAATAAGATAAAAATGAATAGTAATGTAAAATGTTGACGTGGCTTAACCGTGACCACACAAACAGGATGGCATGAGAGGGCACGGGAACAAGGAGGGCAGACAATCTTTGTCCTTGTTAGTATTGTCCTTGTTCTGTGGGTTTTCAAATTCCATTTAAATTTATTGACTCTTATTAGGATTGGGAGTCTTTAATCCCAACCCTCTACGCCAAACATAGATCTTGATCAAATTTCTCAATTGGATTAGACTATTTCCTTAATTGTATATTGAATCAACACTTTTTAAACATGAAAAGGAGAGACAAAAGTTAATACATGTGAAATATAACATCATTACCTTCTTTCTTTTTTTTCTCTGGAGTGTATGTTACAAAATTACCCTTTATAGTAGAAACATTTTTTCACACTGTTATCTTTTCATCTATTACTCTGTGTCAAGTGGTGTTCCCTACCAATAGACTTTTGACATCTAAATCTTCTTTTATCCCTTTTTAATCAAATAAATTCTTAAAAGCTGGAAGTCCAATAGTCAAACAAAAACTAAGGGATGTGAACTTCCCCATCAAGCACTTCTGCAACTTGCTTTCGAATTCCATCATATTTCCTACTCGATTTCGAATTCAATCTTGTTTGCCCTACACTTACCCTCCACTTTTGAATTGAAACCGTAGTCTAAAAAGAGAGTAAAAAATAATGGAAGTCAACTTCTAAATCCCAAAGCACGCCGTGCCCAAACCCGATTATCTCTCTCTTTCTCATGTTTTCATTTTCTGGGTGTTGGTAAATTTTGTGATGATTTCTAAATTAGTGAAAAGATTTACAGAATGAGTAATTGGTAATGGCGGTAAGAGTTGACAGTGGAAGTACAACTACGTTAAATTAATTGGTTTTCCGTCGACGATTCAGCATCTCAATTTTTAAAAATTAAAGATATAAAAGAATATTTAGATGTCAAATTTCAATTGGTGGGAACACCACCTGGCTTTTGTGCTAGGAACCCCAAAAAATTTCTCCACAGTGAGTTCGCGTTTCTACCTTCAGTTGAATCGATATTAATGTTATTGATAAATGGTTTTGGTTTGGGGTGCTAATTAGGCAATAAGCATTGCTAAGAGATCCAATAAATGGTGTGGGTTTATAGTTTTAAAGAAATTTTGGTTGAACTGATTCTGCAAAAATTGTCGTAGACAAGTTGAAATAATTCTACAAAAATGGTCAATGATGGGTTGAACTGATTCTGCAAAAATGGTTGAGACTTATTGAACTAATTCTGCAAAAAATGGTCGATGACGGGTTGAACGGATTCTGAAAAATGTTCGAGGACAGGTTGAACTAATTCTGCAATAATTATCGAAGACGAGTTGAACTGATTCTGCAATATGGTGGGTTTAATTTATTCTACAAAAATGGTCGAGGACTGATTGAACTGATTCTGCAAAAATGATCGATGACTAATTAAACTGATTCAGCAAAAAAATGTCGAGAACCAGTTGAACTAATTCCACAAAAATGGTCAAACGGGTTAAACTGATTTTGCAAAAATGGTGGTGGACGGGTTGAACTGATTTTGCAAAAAGGTGGATTTAATTGATTATGCAAAAAGGATCGATGACTGATTGAACTGATTCTGCAAAAAAGGTCGGGACGTGTTGAACTGATTATGCAAAAATGGTCAAAGACGGGTTGAACTAATTTTGTGAAAATGGTCAAAGACTGATTGAATTGATTATGCAGAAATAATCGAGGATGGGTTGAGCTTATGGTACATATTAATTTTGTTGGAGTTGTGAGGGTTGGTTTCTATAACATCCCTAAAGCCTTAGGGGTATAACTGGTATTTTAGAACATTGTTTCCATGTTTTTAGGCTGGACTTTAGTTGTTTTTATGTTTTTGTCTCTCATTGATATGTTTAAAAACTAGTGGAGTTCCTTGAAATATAGTGAATTTTTTTGTCTCTATATATAAAGCTCCTAGTCCTTGGTGTTTTACCAACCAATCACCCAGCTACCTTATACTTGACATAAAAAAAAGGGAAATACCTCAAAATGGGACAATTTCATAATCTTGGAACAGAAATATGATTTTTTGAATGTGCATACAGCATGCACACGCTAGGTCTGGCAAACAGGTCGGGTTTGTCGTGTCGTGTTTGTGTAAAACTTGTTATCTTGACAGATCATGTCGTGTTACACCCATTATCTTAATGGGTCATTAACACGTCGAGTCACTTTACCCAAAAAGTAAACTGACCCGACCTGTTATGACCGGTTAAGAAAAATATTTTTTTTCCTTAAATTTGCACATACCAAATTCCCACATAAATATTACTTCAAAGCATAAAAGCACATTTATCGTTAAGTACTACATCTACACTCCAAAATAAGAGTTTAATAAAAAGGCACCAATACACTACTAGTCTAATACAAAATATCAAATGTGCAACGATATGCAAAATGAATGAGTTTTTCTTTTCAAAGTTGCGAAGCCTTTCTCAAAAGTTAAAACCTTACCAATGAAACTCAAAGCTTACATGTTATTCATTTTACAAAATCCTTCAATTTCATCGATCACCATGGGGAAATTGTATTGGAACTTTGACTTAATCTATTGCCTTCAAGAGTTACGTTGATAATGTTTTCAGTAAAGTTTTCCACATCAAAACTCTCTTTCTCATAAACTAAGTATAGAAAAACCAAACATTATAAACCATTCAAATTATGAGAATTTTACCAAAATAATTATGAAAAGAAATAAAACAATAATACTATACCATATAAAAATATATTACCTCATTCTTTCAAAA